TATGTTGTTCAGGAATGCTAAGAAGAATATAGAAATCAAATTTGGAATTTATTTAATTAAATACCCTAGTAAATGAAATTAGAACATTTTGGGGGTGGTTGGAGGAAAGTCATTTGTTCAAATGTGCCTAGTCACAAATTACTCTGAATAGCAAAGTCTTCTTCAATAACACTTATGTCCCCCTACAAGTCTCTGATTTAGTTTTAAGATACTGAATTCCAATTTCTCTTTCTTATATCATATCTATTTGTGAATAGTTGTCACAGGTTAATCCCTCTACTCAATTTAATTCATACACATTTCCAGATATATATTCTTTTAAAATTCTACTAATAGTCTACTATAACCAGAATGCACTTTAGCAGCCTCCAGGATAACATCTTCTCATACTTTCCTTCTATGATGCAGGTTGTTACCAAAGCCTGTAAAATGCACAGAAGATAACACAACTAAAATTCCTCCCATATTTTCTGCCCTGAGATAAAAAAAGAAGAGCATATTTGATTCTAGAAAAGGTTTGTTTTTAAAGGAAAAACAGGATGGAGGTAATGGAGTCAAGGACTGATACAAAATGTGAAATCTTTCTATGAGCACATATGTCTTTGTGCATACTTTATTCTTTTAAATTGTTTTCATCTATTCATATTGATTTTATTTGTATGCCACCCTGAGACTTTGTGATTTATGGCAGGATATTATTATTATTGTTGCCATTGTTACTATATTCTGTCCTACTTTATTATTCTTTTGGGTGCCCCATATAGGTCCCTGCCTCTAGTCACATCTTTAACTTATTCTCAGTATGTGGAACTGTATACATATGCTTGAGAGATATGTTGGTCTTAGGGCAAAATCTTTGCAGACCTGGGGTCCTGTACTGTGTGATGTACAGAGTGATGATGGGGATTCTTTGCTATGCAACGTCTGCTCACCAATAACTCTTCTTTTGCACCAATAGTGTTATCTCCCCTTGATCATCACTTACTGTTGATCATCATTAAGCCCAGAGAATTAATATATCAACTATTATTTTTAGAAGGCCTTGTAGTTATGATTTGGTCCTCCCACTTTTCCCACGGTTTGAGCATCTCATCTTTATTTGCTATTGTATCAATATATTCTACATAATGCTGAGGATGGTTTCTACTGAACAACAT